GGGGGGGCTTTGAAAGCCTCGGGGTCTCAGGAGCAGCCTCTCACCTGGTGAATGGCTCCCGGACGCTTTAATCCAGAATTTTGCGAGTGATTTCTCAGCACAGCCGCGCCTCATTTTACACCCGGTTTCGCTTGGCGTGTTTTGCAGTGGGCACGCCTTACTACATGTCCCCCGAGAGGATACACGAGAACGGCTACAACTTCAAGTCCGACATCTGGTCCCTGGGCTGCCTCCTCTACGAGGTAGGTCGCGTCGTGAATCCGTGTCCCCGCGCGTCCGCTCGCCTAGGACGCCTCCCCCCTGGTGGGGTGCACTCGTTTTCCTGGGTGATGATTAAGAATTGATGTTTTCATTACGCCCAGTTAATCCACGCGCTTAGTAGCTGCTTTTATAATGGAGTTTAGTGACTATACATTTCTGCACATTTACTTTCTCTAATATATTTTTAATTTCCCTTTTGATGAGAATTTTGTTTCTTAATGTTTATATGTTAATATGGTGTTTTCCAGTATATCTTATTTACAAAAATATTCATTCGAACATTGGTGAGAACACTTGCTTATCTGTGCAAGTAGGACAGGTATAGGGGATGGATTTAAAATGTGAAAGCACAGGAAGGGCCTTTATCACTTTCACCTGGAGTAAGGGGGCTGTAAGGGTGCTGTGCAAACAGACCCTTCTCCTGGGTTACCCGGCGATTTCATTTCCATGAGTGACCATAGGTGTGGGTCGAGCTGGGTGAAATACTCTCTCCTATTCTGCCCCTGCTGATTCATCACAGGGACCTGGAGGCATGTGGGTGGGTCCTCTGCAAACACTGCAGAAATCCCGGTGGGTGGAGGGAAGCGTAGGATGAGCCCCTCACATCCCTGCCACAGGGTAATGACACCAGAGAGGATCCGAAGCTAGTGACTCTGTCATTTCATTTTTTAACTGAAGGGGATCTTCCCAGGAATAAAGGCTTTCAGTCAAAGCTGTTATTTTAAAATTAGTCTACATTTAAGTAACCCCTTTAATAAAATAAAATGAAGGAAGATGATACATTGAGTCACCTTCCTGGTTTAATGTATGCAAAGGAAACCTGCACAGATACATAGAAACCAATGTGCTTCTTACTCTCATCTGTTTCAGTTGTTCCACCAGTCCTTGGAAGTGGAGAATAAGAAGGTTATTTTTTTTAATGTGTATCATGACTTTTAGCTGTTATTTTACTGATGGCAGTTTCACATTTCCAAATTTTAAGGGTTTGTTTATTTTGAGATTTTTTTATTTTGTTCCCCCTACTATAGTGACTGATGACTTTAAAAGGACTTTTAAATGTTCTTAAATTATATCCCTAGGATAATTTTTATTATGAAAAGTTATGAGTTAGTGATATAACAAGTATTTTTTATGTGTGCATATGAGATTATTTTATGCTTACTATGTTATATTTTGTTAACAATTTGGTACAATGTTAAAAAGAACTGATCTGATTATATTAAGTAACTATAATGTTTAAAAGTCACCATACATTTTAAAACATTTAATACCTGTTCAGGTCTTAGATTCCTTCAGACCACAGTCTGATATCATTAAAGCAACATTTTCCTTTCAAACACCTAAAATAAACAGCAAAGTGAATCCCACTGATGAGATTAAATTTAGCAACGAAAAAGGAAAAGTTGGGTTGAAGTTATAAGTGTTTTTTGGGAAGTTTGCAGAATTCTTTTAGGGCCAGCAGACTCTCGGGTCAGAACTGAACGAATTCTCCACATTTGGAACTTGCCTGAGGGGCAGTGTCCATTTTTGTGTCCCGAAAATGGTCTCCAAAATAAAAATGATTCCTGTGGCCACTCCTACGCCCACGAGTGTGAACTGCTACGGATGATTTTGAATTCAAGTATTTGTCATGTTAACACTAGTTTCCATTTCGCTGTGTTTCCTCAATTCCTGTGTGCAGATCATTTGGAAGACCTGGAATTTTTCTAAAGATTTAATTTACCTTTATGTTGTATCTGCTTCCAATTAGGTGTTAATATCATGTTACCAGAAATACCCAGTAACTGAGCTTTAAACATTGGCCGAAAGATTACTGGATATTTTATATTGTGTCCCACCAAGAATTGACAATGAAGGAGCCGGAGCCTTTTTTGAAAATGTATTTGAAACGCAGAAAATTAGACTTTCAAATATTCCTGAAACTTAAAAGAAAAAAAAAAACCCCACCTAGCAGAACCGTTTTAATTGATATGCAACAAAGTAGACTTTACTAATTAAAACCAAGATGCTGCGCTTTTGCTACACGGACCTTTACATGGAAAAGCCGGTTTTACACGGTTCCTTTATTGTTCGGCGCAGCAACTGCATCCTCGCAGGGTTGTAGGTTGGTGGCTTACAGTTCAGAAAAAGAGAAAGCTGCCACCAGCCCCGCAGACAGACAGCGGGCTGGGCCGGCGAGGCCCCGGAATACTAATCAGCAGCGGGGACCCCGGAGGTCAGGGAGCAAGTCAATCATCCCGCGCCCGCCGCGGCGCGGGATCAAATTAGCCTGAGAAATGCAGCTGCGGGCGGAGCGGGCGAGCAGCTGTCAGGGGCCGCGCGCGCTGCTCTAATGAACCAGATGAATAGCGCGAGAGCTGGGAAGTAAAAACAGGACAGTTGACATTTTTCATCTGTCAGCGCGGGAGACGCCTGGAAACACGCCTCCCTGTTAACTCCTTGGGGGCCCCGCCGGTGCCTTTTCACGCGCCGCGTGTCGCGCCCGAGCCCGGCGCCGCTCCCGCGCCGGCGGTGGGTTTGGGGCGCACCGAGGGCCCTGGGCAGCGTGCCCCTCGGGCTCTGCCTTGTCCTTAAGTGTTCTTGCATTTTGAGCAAAAACACCCGTGGTGATGATGATGGGAGGGCCTCTTCCGGAAATTCCCTCCCGACGAGATGTTCTTTGCGTTTGGGGACATTCAGATGTTTATTTTCCCTCTTCCCGGGGACCAGCCATTCCAGAGGTGGTTTTCTGCGGGGCTGTGTCGACTTCGCATGAGATGCGCCCCTCTCCGGGCTCCGAGGGGTTAAGGCTGCGTGTGCGGGCGGCAGGCGGGGGGAGCCCCTTCCACGCGGTCCCCCTGGGACGCTCGGAGCTCCGCGCTGCCGGGNNCAGCCAAGCCGATTAGCGCCCAGAAAGGGGTGACTGGCTGGGCCGCCGCCAGCCCCGCGCTCCGGAGGCCCCGGAGCTTCCACGGAGGCGGACGCCGGACGCTGAGGTTTAGCTCGGGCCCTGCTCCCCCAGCCCCGCCTGCACTTCAGATATCAGGCTGGAGCCTCCTCTGGAAATAAATTTAAATCCAATAATGTCTTTTTTAAAGTTGCTGGTTCCTCGAGTCATTGTTTTTCTGCATTAAAATCCCGTTTGGATGCCTTGAAGTATCACCCATGAGTCATAGAGACTTTGAGCATATTTAGTGTTTCTCTGAGATGTGATCAAAAGGAAACAAGTTCTAAGCCTTTGTAAAGAACGTGAGGGTCGGGCACCAAATCCGGATGGAGATTTCTTTTTCCACAGAAACTGTTATTTGAGATAACACACTAGGCATTCCACACACACACACACACCCCACACACACAAGCCGTGGCTGGGGTATAACTCAGTGTTAACCTTAGTTTTGTGTTTGTTACATTTCAGCCATTAGGTGTTGGATACAGAGTATCCCTGTCTGTTCAGTCCTGAGACTGTACCGGTTGCTTTTATGGTGACTAGTTATAAAGAACCTTAAGTTACTTCGTGCCCTTTTCTTAATACTGTTTCATGTTGCATATGTAGACAAATACATGTTGACTACTGCTCCCTGTTAGGGAATTTTAAATGTTGGAGAAAAAAACACCAAAAATCGAAGTAAGATTTTTAGAAGTTACTAAATAATTACCACAGAGGGATGGTCGTGAAAATCGGGAGGCCCAGCGCTCTTTGTTTAAAGTGTGTGGTTATCTTCTGCCCCGTGTGAAGCACTGGGTGGGACCCTGTGAGGCGACCAGTGACTGTATCAGTTTCATTGGAAGCGTTTTGCAGATGGCCGCCCTGCAGAGCCCCTTCTACGGCGACAAGATGAACCTCTACTCGCTGTGCAAGAAGATTGAGCAGTGCGACTACCCCCCGCTCCCTTCAGACCACTACTCGGAGGAAGTAAGTTGCTCGCGGTCCCTGTGTTCACCTAGTGTTCGTCCTGCCAACACTCACATTGTACTAAGACGTGTCCCTTTATCCCCAAATCCAAATGGCTTCAAGTACAGGTGGCAGAAGTGGCACTTTTCATTGTGCCCTCATTTCCCTGGAGACTCGCTGTGTGCGGGTTGGCTCTGGGATTCTCTAGCGGGGTGGTGTAGACTCGGCCACGCCTGCTGCGGCAGAAAACGCCAGGGCCAGTCAGGGCTGGGACGCCTCAGGCCCTGGCTGCCGGTCAGCGTGGCCCAGGCCCTCTTCACGGGGCAGCTGCTCCCCCTCGCTCTCAGAACAGCCGCCGTCTAGAACCTTCTCTTTTGGCAGAGCTTCCCTCTTCTTCATGTTTTCCCAAAACTGAAATGTGCTTCTCTTACATGTCCCTCAACTGTGTGCTCTCAGCTCCACCCTCCCCCTCTTGACAATACCTGTCCTGTCCCTGCCTCACCGCCACACTCAGAGTCCCACCAGTCGTGTTTGGAGGTCAGCAGTGTAGACCTGTGAAAAGTATATGGGGCGGGATGGACACTGTAGAGGACTTGACCTTCTTACCACCCGAGTCACAATCCTTGCTTGCTTGGCTGCTTGGGTAAGCCGCTGAAATGAGTTGTTTCTGCTCCACCCAGCGTCTCCCACTTTAGCCCAGTACATCATTTTACCAATTCCATCTTGATTTTACCAATTCCATCATGGTTTTACCGGTTAAGGGGTTAAGGAGGAGACGTGCAGAATAGGGAGTCTCAGGTTAACTCCACGGGGTCATGACTTTGGAGAGCTCCTTGGAGATCCGCCCAGAGCCGCCGCCTGGAGCTGGGCACCTGCCTCCCGTGAGCAGCCGGGAGACCGGGAGAGCGGCGGGGGCCGGGTGCGAGCGGCGGTGCGCACGGACCGGTGCTCTCGCCCTGGTTTGGAAGGAGCGCGCTCGCTCCTCCGTAAGGGACAGTGAGCGGGTGTCGCTGGAGGAATCGCTGCCACGTGTAAGCATCGGGCCCCGGGCTGCCAGCGCCCCTTTCTGGCGCTGTGATGCCCACGGCCGCTGGCTGAGGCTCGGCCTGTGCGGCCCGCGGCCCCCGCTTCAGGGCCTGTCCCGGGCGGCTGCGCAGGC